TCTGGGGTGACAAGGACAATGTCTCACTTATGAAGGAATTGCAAATTCTCCAAAACAAAGCAGCTAAGTTGATATTAGATAGATCACCTCACTCCTCATCCACCGATGCATTGATTGTCTTGAGATGGCTGAATCTTGAAGAACGTAGGAAATGTCATCGATGTATATATGCATACAAGTGTATTAATGGCCAACTTAATCATTCTTTGGACATTGTAAGAAAGAGTGATATACATTCCTACAATACGCGCAATAACGATACTATCAAGCTCCCCAAAATTAAATATAATTGGGGAAAACAACGTTCGCGGTACCACTGTTTCAAAGACTTTAATGAATTAGAGAGAACTGTAAGAAACTCAGCAAGTTTTCCAATTTTTAAGAAGTGTCTTTTTTCTGCTTTTTATAATTGAGTACTTGTAGTGTGTATGTTTTGATTATTTCTGTAACTGGATTTTAGCTTGAATTTTTTTTTTTTTTTTTTTTTTTTTTTATTTTTTTTTCATATATATCGATTTTAGCTTAACCTTTTTATATTTTAATTGTATTATATAATATACATCTCGTAATTAGGACCTCTATGTAAACCACTCTTGTGATGGAGCATCCTATTAAAAGATTGTTATTATTTACCTCAAACTCAACTGAAACTCGCAAATCGATCGTTATCATATTTCATTCAAATGAATTCAACACAAACAATTTAAACGTGATACGTTTGTAAGATAACTTTCGCTGAACAGTGCTGAACAATGACTTAAAACTAACCTGAGAGTCCTTAGCACCAAACAAGTCGCGCGCGGCAGGTGTGCTGCGTTCTGGCGAGTTTCTGTAAAATCAAATTAGAGCAGATATCAGGCTGAAGTTATCCTCAGTGTCTGATTGTGATAAGTTCAAGGCCATTCATCGTTTGGCACGGCAGCTAACAGTCCGTTCACTCTGGGCTAAACTTCAGAAAAGGTAATTAGAACCATGTAAAATTAAGCAGCAGCATAAATGGATGAAAATGAACACCCCGGACAACGAAGACATAAAACTTAGTAATCACGTGCGAGGTAAAAACAAAGACGAGGGACAAACACCTTTCATCTCCTTTGTTTTAACGATCAAATATTGTTTCGCATGGAATATGCATTTAGTATCGAAATGTATTTTGACCTTACCTAACAGCGAGTATTAAATAAATAAATAAATAAATAAATAAATAAAAGCAACTAAACAGACAAAACAAAAATACGACTACATTTCACCGCGCGAAAGAGCTTACGTCTGGTTATTTAGTACACGCATGTGTTCTAATTTATCAAACATGCTTAGTTACACATCACGCTTAGACACTTTTACCAGAAAAACAAAACATTCAGTTGTAATTTACATGACTTTATAAAAAAAAGAACATAACCACTAAAATTCAAAGAATCAGCCCATGCTGTTCCGCCGCAGACTCGAGCATAAATTCAAGGCACAACAACTTCACATTTTCACACGTACTCACATTTCAAAAGATTCGTCGCTTTGTCGCGATCTGTAAACGAAAACAGATATGTTTTCGTAAAATGGTAACATTTTATCAAACTCAGTAAAACGGAAAAGAATGAAAACTTTCATATTCTTTCTCGTACCTTTTCTTAAAAGGGCTCCGTGTTTCCATTTTGAAGGAAAGGCGGCGAAGGAAGGAGGCTTACTCATGTCAATCATGATCGCAAGTTTCAACGCTCACGCGTATATGAAATTCTCGAAGAAATATTTGGCGCCGTACGCAAAAAACGCAACAGTAAAAAATATAATAACAATAAATAAATACAATGTGGGGATGAAAAGTCTTGATCAAGCAATTATTGTTAGTGACACTCTCAAGACAGAAACGTCTCCAATTTTTATTTCCTAGGTTCGGGTTACGGTTACGGTTCCGGTTCCGGATTCCGGCTTTTCCATACGCCCGGTCGGCAAAGAAAATTTCCTGCAAATTTTGTGGCTATGACCATCAACCTGATAGGAAGATGTGCCCATGATGTGAAGATGTGTGCATGGGGAAAGAAGTGCAAGCGATGCAAGGAAAAGAATCATTTTGCCAAGAAGTGTAAGAAAGTTCCTGTCCATAATATTGAGAGCGAAGAGGAGTTAGTGGAGATCAGCGTTGTAAGAGGGTCTCAATGGGGTTAACCGATAGGCGTGAAACGGCCAAAAATTTAGTCGATAGCCGTAAAAATTGAAAAAATTTAACCGTTAGCCGTAAATAGGGTAAAAAAAAGAGTTAACCGTAAAAGATAGTGTTCCCTAGATTTGCTATTTTTAAGGAAGGTACTAAACTCACCTATGGTTGCGTTTTTTATTTCCTGGCTAGTGTGACTCCGTACGCACGTTAGGCGAAGCGCCTTAACCAAGACCTAGGCTCCATCCGGCGCTCTCTCGGGAACTAATACTACGAAAGTGTGGCTTCTTTCCGGAGGTCGTGCCCTCGAAACACTAGTGAAGCAACACGCAGAGATGTAACTGTTTGTAAAACACGTTGCCGATAAACAACATTTCCCTGTTTTTCTCTGACGCTACGGTAGACATTGCTATGCCTAGTCCCTGTACTGCGTCTTCCCTCGCAATCTCGGTCAAGCCATTTCCGTCGTTAACTCGTTCGGACCACGTGACCCGAAACGCATTAGCCGCGTAGAATAATGCGGCCTACGGACAAGGTAACGGCAGACAGTCGTTCCGTACAGTCCTTCGCTATCATTAAAAACACTGGACAAGGGAATTTTGTTATTGGCCGTTTTCACACTAGAGCTAGAAATGGATCATCCGTCTGAGACTAGCCTGTGTACAGTCGCGTCCTCCCCACAGACACCCCTTCTCCGATTTTTTCGGGGGGGAAGGGGGCGGCTGTACACAGGCTATCTGGAACAGATAATCCCGTCTTCAAAAGTCAGGGGCATTGTTCAACCAAACTTAAAACTATTCCATTTTCAAATTAAGACGTATTACCTATCTGACGTGAATCATCAAACGGATAACCCGTCTCACACGAATAATCCTTCTCTAGTGTGAAAACGGCCATTTTTGTTATAATGAATGTCGCGGCCCGGCCTTGAGTTGGGCGTTTGCGTGTCTGCTTTTGCTTTTTCACAAAGATTATTTTTAAATTGACTATTGACATTTCTAAGTGTAAAATAACATTAGAAGTGGAATACTTTATAAAAAGTATGATCCATCAAATGTTAAAATTTTTCAAAAGAATAGCTTATTTCATCCCGAGATGATCCGAAGATCCGATAGCCGTAAAAGAACCAAAATTTTAGCCGATAACCGTAAAAGCCACCACCCCATTGAGACCCTCTTGTAAGAGTACAGGCTTTGAGAGGGAGAGCTGTTAATGCAAGAATGCTGGTTAGGCAGCAACCGGTGCAATTTCAAGTTGATTGTGGTGCAAGTGCAAATATTTTACGTCTGAAGTATGCTGAGGGCGAGGAACTCTACTCGTGTTCGCAAACGCTTGTCATGTGGAATGGAACTAAAGTGACGCCTGTCGGTTCCTGTGCGTTGCCTGTTGTGAATCCGAAAACTAAAGAGAAGTACAAGGTCCGGTTTCTAGTCGTGAAAGAGGATTTGACCCCTCTACTTGGCTTAAATGCAACGCAGAAAATGAATCTGTTAACTGTACACGAGGAAAACTTCATCAATGTCGTGGAGAATGCAAATGATGATCTCACTGCTAATTACGCGGATGTCTTTAACAAAGGTCTCGGAACACTTCCAGGAAAAGTTCGCCTGCAAGTTGACCCAGATTGCAAGCCTGTGATCCTTCCAGCACGAAAAGTCCCTGTGTCTGTTCGGGAGAAGTTCAAAGAAGACTCCAAAGGTTGGAACGTCTTAAAGTAATCACTCCTGTTGACGAACTGACCGAGTGGGTTAGTCAGATTGTTTTAGCTGTAAAGAAGTCCGGCGAACTGCGTGTTTGTATTGACCCGCGACCACTTAATACTGTCTTGAAGAGGGAACGTTATCAAATTCCCGTCATTGATGATTTGTTGTCAGACTTGACAGATGCACGTGTGTTTACAAAGGTTGATTTAGCCTCTGCTTTTTGGCATCTGGAGTTAGATCGCGAGTCTAGTATGCTCACGACATTTGCCACGCCATATGGGCAATATCGTTGGTTCCGTTTGCCGTTTGGTCTCAGTATTTCGAGTGAAATTTTTCAGGAACGTCTCCATCAAGAGTTACAAGGTCTCCCGGGTGTAAAGTGTATTGCAGATGATATTCTCATCCATGGTACGTGCGAGGCTGATCTTGACAGCAATCTAGATGGATTCATGCGCAGATGTCAGCAGAAAGGTATCAATTGTATTGTATTGTATTGTATTGTATTGTATTGTATTGTAAAGGGTAGTGGTACCCAAGGCTGCTAGGAGTGGTCTCCTAAAAAGTATTCACAATTCGCACCTTGGAGTTAATGGTTGCCTTAACAGAGCGCGTGAGTGTCTTTATTGGCCTGGGATGACAGGAGAGTAGATGCAGAGAGTACGAACAGGGTCAAAGGAAGGAAACACTCACCAGCCATGAAGCAGTTCGTTGCAGCAGACCTATTTGAGTTAAATGGAAAAAGTTACCTTGTGACTGTGGACTATTTTAGCGATTTCATCGAGCTCGACCATCTGAGAAGTACATCTTCTGTCTGCGTCATCAAGAAGCTTAAAGGTCATTTCGCGAGACATGGCATTCCCGAGCAACTCGTTACTGATAACGGGCCACAGTTCGTCTCGCGCGATTTCCTGAAATTCTCTAAAGAGTGGGATTTTGAGCACAGAACCAGCATTCCGCATCATAGTTAGTCGAATGGAAAGGCTGAGAGCGCCGTTAAGCAAGCGAAGAAAATTCTGTTAAAGTGCAGCAAGACTGGTTCAGACTTGTTTCTTGCTTTACTGGAACACAGAAACACACGACCTGCGAGTATACAAATCAGCTCAGCACAGCGGCTATTTAGCAGAAGGACCAGAAGTCTCCTCCCGATGACTGCTGCATTCTTAAAGCCATCTTTTTCAGACGAGGACGTGACACATACCAAGCTTCATCGCCGCCAACAGCAACAAGCCAATTACTACAACAGAGGCGCACAAGACCTCCAGCCTTTAGAGCCCGGAGATACCGTGCGAGTTGAGCCCTGGCGCGCGGGAAGAAAACAGTGGCAAAAGGGTGTCGTAAAGAGTCGCATTGACGAAAGATCTTACGAGGTTAAGCTGCCTCAAGGACTCCTTCGACGAAGTCGTGTTGAGCTACGCAAGTCCAATGAAGCGCCTAGATCAACGTTGAAGATGACGACGTCATAGAGGCGCGCGAGCAGTCATCCATAGAGACACGCGAACAGACACCTCCAGATACACGCGTGGAAACATTCGACCAGCCGCGCGATCCGTTGTCTTCGGTGCCGGACGCACCTAAGTCACCCAATCCTTTACAGGCACCGAGAAAGTCCACGCGCGTCCGTCAGCCGCCCAAGCGTCTACAGGACTATGTGCTTACTTAAGCCTAAGAACTCTTTCCAAAGAACTGAATTTCATTTTTTCTGTTAAGTTGTTTCCTTATTTCTCTATAAAAGGGAGGGTGTTATAATATTGTAATTTTCACGCCCTTTGCTGAATTTCATTTGCACGTGCTGCTAGACTCATTATATATTCAGTTTCGTTTGCACCTTCGAGGCACTTGATAGAGATTAAAATGTCTGTTCAGTAACCGCTTGAACGTGTGGCTCGCTGTGTTATCACATTATTGCCCAATTTCTGTGATCTCAGCAATAGTAAAAGTCTTCGAGAGAACAGTTTACAATCAGCTTTCTTCCTATTTATCCGAAAATAATATTTTGTCAAAACATCAGTCTGGTTTTCGATCTTTTCACTCAACTGTAACCGCTTTGCTCGAAGCCACTGATAATTGGGCCTTTAAAACAGATCGTGGCTATGTTAACGCTGTTGTCTTTTTAGATCTAAAAAAGGCATTTGACACAGTCAATCACTCTATTCTATTATCCAAACTATATTCATATGGAGTCAAAGGAATTGCCTACGAACTGTTTTCTTCTTACTTAGAAAATCGTACGCAAAAATGTGCTGTCAATGGTGTCCTCTCTAAATATCTATCATGGGTTAGTTCAATCGCACTTCGACTGTTGTAGTGTTGTTTGGGGTAACTGTGCCAAAAAAGTATCTGACAAATTACAGAGACTTCAAAATCTTGCTGTCCGGGTCCTTACCCATTCTAGTTATGATGCTGACGCCAACCAACTATTTAAAGAATTAGGCTGGGACAGTTTAGAAACTCGACGTCAAAAACTAAAGGCTGAGATGGTCTATAAGTCCTTAAACGGCCTCGCACCGAATTATTTGTCCTCGAAATTCATACAGTACTTCTTACAATTTGCGCAATTCTGATAATAAGCTTGCAATACCATTAATTGCCACGTACTAACCAAAATAGCTTTGCCTATAGTGGTGCAGTCCTCTGGAACAGTCTACCCTCAGCTGCTAGACAAGCAACATCTCTGACTAATTTCCGACGATTCTTAATTAATTCCGACACGGCATTCATGTAAAACAGGCTTTAATTTAGTCTACTTTTCTTTAATAGTTACCAATATTTTAAATTATAGAAGATTAATCTGTATACATAGTTTCCTATTATGTTGTAGCTTTATATTGAATTGTTAATGCCTGATGTATTTACCGTGTTTTTTAAATAAAGATGATGATGATGATGATGATGATGATGATTCCTAGCCAACCTGCGTGACAAGAGTTCAAAGGTAAACGAGACTGGCTCGCCCGCGCTTGGGCGTCCTAGTTCCCGTGAGGATGGGGGGGGGGGGG